CTTGCTCCAGGCTTCCACCTGGCTCAGCCCTGGCCGTTGCAGCCATCTGAGGAGTCAATCAATAGATGGAAGATTTCTATCTCTTCCTCCTTCTATGTAGTTTTGACTTTCACATAAATAAATGAAGCCTTTATAAAAAAGAAATTAACAGCAATAAGGTATCTAGAAAATCCTCCAGGTTCTTATGAATTAGGCAACACATCTTAATGACCCATAGGTCAAGGAAGAATTATAAAAAGAAAAAGAGAGAGAGAAAGGATAAAGTTAATGAAATTGAAAACCAACTCTCAAAAATCTGTAGCATGCAGATAAACACTGCTTAAAGGGAAATGCATAATTCTGTATACTTACCAAGGAGGAAAGTCTCAAATCTGTGAGGTAAGTAAACTATAAGCTAAAACCCAAAGTAAACAGAAAGAAGAAAATAACAAATATGAGAGGGAATCTAAATGACAAAAATTGGCTAAGGTCTGGAAAGGCAGTGAAACATGGCCCAAGTACTCGGGTCCCTGACACCCATGTGGGTAACCAGGATAGAATTTCTGGCTCCTGACATCAGCTTGGCACAGACTTGGTTGTTGCAGACACTTGGGAATAAATAAGTGAAAGGAAAATTGAATGATCTTTCCACTTCTCTCCCTCCCTCCCTCCGTCCCTCCCTCCCTTTCTCTCTCCAATTTTTATTTAAATAAATACATTTTTTGTAAAGAAGAAATGGGTTCAGGTGTGGAACATCAGATCTGCTCATGGCAAAAACTATCTTTCCCATTACCCCAATTGAAACCGAACATGAGAGAAAATCAATAATTAGAAAATTCCTCCGCTGGCGCCAAGGCTCAGTAGGCTAATCCTTCGCCTGTGGCACTGGCACCCCAGGTTCTAGTCCCGGTTGGGGCGCCGGATTCTGTCCCGGTTGCTCCTCTTCCAGTCCAGCTCTTTGCTGTGGCCTGGGAAGGCAATGGAGGATGGCTGAAGTGTTTGGGCCCTGCACCCACGTGGAAGACCAGGAGGAAGCACCCGGCTCCTGGCTTCGGATCGGCACAGCACGCTGGCCATGGCGGCCATTTGAGGCGTGAACCAACAGAAAAGGAAGACCTTTCTCTCTGTCTCTCTCTCTCACTGTCTTACTCTGCCTGTCAAAAAAAAAAAAAAAAAAAAAAAAAAAAAAAAAAAGAAAGAAAGAAAAGAAAAGAAAAAGAAAATTCCTTGAGGGAGCATTTAGCCTGTGGATTGAGATGCCTATGTCCCACATCAGTGCCTACGTTGAGCCTGGATCTGACTTATGACTCCAGTTTCCTGCAATACAGGTGCTGAAAGAAACACAGTACCGGTGATACTGCAAGTGACTGGGTTCCTGCTACCCATTTGGTTCCCAGCTTCAGCCACAGCCCAGAACCAGCTACTGTGGGCATTATAACCAGTGGATGGGGACACATGCACTCCCTCTTGCTCTCCTTCTCCATTAAATAAATAAATAAATTTTATTACTGAGACTAATCGAGGAAAATAATAAAGAAATACAAATAACCAATATTACAAAGAAAAAATATACACTACTAAAAAATTTACCTACGTTAAAAGAATGAAAAGATAGTATTACTGAGGCTTCCTGCTAATTCACCTGGGAGGCAGATGAAAGTCCAAGAACTTGGGTTCCTGCCACCCATACAGGAGACCTGGATGGAATTCCTGCCTCCTGGCTTCAGAGTGACCCAGCTTCAGCTGTTATACGCATTTGGAGAGGGAGCTAGCAGATGGAAGATATCTTTCCACTCCCTCCCATTTTTTCTCTCCCACCCCCAGCACCTTTCCCAATAAACAAATAAATCCTCTTCAAAAAATATTATGAAGAACATTATGCCAATAAATTGGACCACTTCTTGAATGGAAAAGTACTTCAAAAACTACACTGAGCCAACATTTATGTTAAGTATTTAGCAAACATACTACCTGATGACAGACTGCACTTCTTAGTGCATTTTGTCAAGAAGTTCATATTAGACTATACAACTCTTAGAGACACTAGGTTTGATTACTCAGTTAAGACATGGAACATTAGAGCTGTCCATTGTAAAACTGCATTTTCCCTTTTACTGCAAATAACCTCTGGAGTGATACTTTGCAACTATATAAATATTCTGTTCCCCTAATAGTCTTTCACCTAATGAGTTCAGCATTCTCTAGCCATGCTTGTTTGAATCAATTAGTATACTGAGATGGAAAATCTTCATTTTCTAATTATATTATTCCATTTAGCATTCTTTTATAAAAACTTTTCTTCTCTCTCTGCTCTCTTCTCTCACCACTATGAATCATTTCTTCTCAATGTGTTAGTTGTAATCAATTATCATCATTCCTTGTGATGTGTAACTTGTCCCAAGCCAGCTTTTGTATTTTTCTTTTTAATGAACCCATTTGTCTCTGTGCACTTACTGCTATTGTGACACGACATTTTTCAGACTTACCTTGTAAATTTCCTGTTCTGGGTCTGGCAATAATCATTTCTCTAAGGAGTTCTTTAGCGGTAGCTGGTATTTACAAATCCAGATGCCTACTGTGTTCATTGCTATTGAAGTGGCACTGCTTCTAAGTCTGCTCAGCAGAACAAGCCAGTAAGTACGCATATGTGTCTGTGTTACCTATTTATTCATCTGTCTGTGCATGATGGCCTCACACCTGTGACACCTGTGGCTGGAATCCAACCCTAGGAAAGTAAAACTACTTCCCCAAAACATCAATATGTTTATACATTTGTTCTACCCTACTAAAAATCCACAAAGTAGTTTTAGAATTATACCACCACTATTACTAACAAAAACAAACCTGCTAAGTAAATCTCAATAGTCTTTGACAGTTCTTTTGGCTTTATAATACATTCTATTTAGAGTATACAGAGCTCTGTGTTCAAATGTTGCTGGGCTTAATCTTTTCTCTGTGTGATTCTCATCAATCTGATATACAGTTAGGTTATGTTTTCTATCTATATTCACACTTGGTGTCTGCCTTTTCATATTTTATTATTATACTTCTGAATGTTTAATATATTTACATGGTTCAAAATCAAAATTCTTTAAAACGTCTACTAAGAGATCTCACATGTATCCCTCTATCCTCTATATCCTCCTTCCACACCCTATAAGTAATATTTTCATTAACTTCTGGGTTATATTTCCTGTTTCATTTTATAAGAATAACCAATTTCCCCTTCCTTCTAACACAGTAGTAGCCTATTATCTGTACTCCATGGAAACTTGTTTTATTTCATTAAGCAATATATCCTAGATTCACAGAACACTGCCCTATCCTTCCACATGGCTGCATTGTGCTCCATTGTGTGCAATCCTACATCTAAGTCCTCTATTCTCTTGTGAGTAACCATTTACACTCACTGCAATGCTTTGTTATTACAAATTATCACTAACGAATAATTTTGTGCATCTGCTGTTTTATATTTGTGGAGGTGTGTCTTCAAGGCAAATTTCTAGATCAGACTCTCTGAGTCAGAAACTAAATGCAAATATAGTTTTGTGACATATTGTGAAAATCCTCCTCAAAATATTGTATCATCTTTCATCTTACCAGAAAATGTATGAAAGTATCAACTTGCACAGCCTTGGCAGGCGGGTTATCCAGACTTCGAACTTTATGTCAATCCAGTAGGTGAGAAAAGGTCTTTCCATGATGTCCTCTTTTGTCTTTTATTATGATTTAAAAGTTGAATATCTTATATTTCTTATACAAAGAGAGAGCAACAGGACACCCTGAAGATTGTCAACAACAGGAAACCACCATTACTTCCAGGCTAACGTATCAAATGGAGAAGGCAATGTTCCTGCAGTCCAAGGTTAAGGGCCACTAAGTATGCTAAAATCATGGTAGTCTACCCAACAAGATTTGAAGCCATAACGGAGCTACAGTTTCTGTCGACACATGGAGAGGAGGATGGAAATGCCTCCTTTCCTTATGCACACCAGCCTACCACAGATGAATTCCATTGGCCAATGCCAGACAAAAGCTAACTGATAGTGGAGCATGGAAAATGCATCCTGCAGAGTTTAGCTCCCTTGCAAGAGAGAACAGAGATGAGGGGAAAGGAGACTGCTCTGAAGGCAAAGGAACAGTACAACACTCAATACAAAACCTAGGGGGAATTCTTGACCTTTTATTTAAAACAAATTCCCAGAAGATACCATATAGTAGTAACACTCCAGTAGCCACATGCCTGTAACTAAATTTTTGAAAGGTATACAGTAGTTTGAAGATAGACTGTAATACAGTCTTCTTATTAGTTCAAACAAAATTATCCTGCAAATAATCTGTAAGGGTTTTTTTTATTATGTGTGCCTTTTGGATAAAAAAGGATTAAGGAAATCAAGAGTATAGGGACGGAACTAGGAAGACTAAAGTAAATATTATTAGTCCTGCAGACACCAGAAACAACCAAAACATTGAGACTGAGATCAAACTGAAAACAACTGAAAAAAAGATTTAATCTTATTTTAAAATAATTAAATAAAAGTGAATTTAAAATGAACAAAGAAAAATAACAAGCCAAACATATTGGAGGTAGGCATTTAGACACTCAGAAGAAGCAAAAGTTCCTCTTTTGATACTTATTAACTTCTCTAAGTTCTGTATTTTAATATAACGATTTTAGAAAGATGAATTTTTTATTGGTCTATCATTCTATTTTATATCATAAGAAATCCAGAACTATTCAGCATCCTAATCTAGCAAAATCTAAAAATAAGCTCAGTGTTGAAAATTTATTATTCAATGCAAAAGATATAAAAGAAATGGTTTGGTTTTTTGAGTAATGATTTATTCTCAGAACTAATCCAATGAGACAAGGTTACTTTTCTGTAAGGAAAACTAATAACATACCTGTTCAATCTTCTAGAAAATCAAGGACTTGAACACCTTGCTAATGTGCAATTCAGATATTCAGGAAAGAACTCTCCAGTTGGAGTATTAACTAGGCTCTTCAACATTCCACTTACTTTTTCTTCTCTTCTTTCCTCTCGTCTTCTTCTTGCCAACATCCTCTTCTGCACTGGACAGCATCAACATGTTAGGAAAAAAGAGTCAAAAGAGAAATAAGTCAGCTCATGTAACAACATCCTAATGCCCACAAGAAAAAAAAATAAACACCAATAACTGTGTGGGACACCGTTAGCCATCATCATCCTGCATGCACCATCTCCAATAAAAGCATTTTAACCACACACCCTTGGATAATTGGTTCCCATGACTAATACATACCCACTAGTCCACAGCCTAAGGAGTGTGAGTGACAAATAATAAAAATGCTTAGGATAATGTGGCTGATTGTAATTCCATTTGAAATAAATGTAACAAATGGCAATGATCCATCTAGTTAACCATCCAGCACAACTCTAATTGTTCAGGTTGTTCATTTCATTACACAGTGTCCTTTCTCAAAAAAAAAAAAAAAACTCATAGTATGAGGAAGTGTTGTCCTCAGCTGGTCACATGGCTTCCACCTGTCACTTGGCTTGTTTTTATTTCATTCTGTCTTCTGGAAAAACATGAAACCTGTCTATAGTCAGCAGATTATATATGCATGTTAGCTTAAATCAAGCAGTTTTATGTCCCTGTCCTTTAATATTGCCCTATTCTTTTTCATTTATTTCTAATTTATTTCACACATTTGTTTTACACACATCTTTAAGCCATCTGTTGTAGTCTGAATAAGCTAGTAATAGTTACAGAGATTGAGTCTGGAGCATAGCGTGTGTGTAATCGACACTGGTGACAGTAATAGGGAGGAAGAAGGATCGGGCAGGCCTTTTCGAAACTTGGCCAACCTACCAGGATGCTTGGAAGTAAATATTACTCATTAAGAGTGGCCTGTGTCAAGCCAACATGTCCATCATGCATGACCTTCACTGAGTCCCAAACAAAGGCTGCCCCAGCAAGGACAGGAATTTAGACCAGCTGAATCACTGGGCCTGAGGCAGACTCTGGAGGAGCTGAAATACTATCACTGGAGATAGGACCTGGAGCTGAGCAGCAGTGCTTCCTCAAGGGAAGCTGTATGGCATATCTCTGGGTCGACCATAGCAAAATCTCAAATACTGAATGGAAGACAATTTCCTCCATATCCAATGTCCTTTCTTCCTAAAGGGAAACTTAGAAAAAACACCATGTCTAAAGCTGAAGTGAGCCTCAGAGTCCAAACGATACTCATTGTCTCCTTCCTTCACTGCCTGTTACCCTAAGCTACTACTTCTGTGGCCTGGCTGTTTACTTTTCAGTGTGACCCAGACCGTCAAGCCCCGGTCACCATGCTCTCTGGCTGAAGTCACCGTGCTAGTCAATTTACAGTCATAACTGGGAAAAGGGAGTACTCAGATGGACCCAAGTCAATCAGCTGAATTCCACAAATTCCTCCCTGTGTCTACTGTGTAACAGCATCACTGCCCCTGTTAATGATCAGTCAAGTATCCTGCCCAGATGGTGACTCCTTGTCTAATTCCTGGACCCATGAATGTCAAAGTGCCCAAATGACAATCAAAGCTTCTAAATCAATGGAACTATTGCTGTGTCCCCTTGAGAATGTGTACCAGGAGACACTGTATACTTTGGAGACTATAGCCTCTAATGCAGAAGAACCCAGAATTATGGCAAAAGGGAAATAAAGACCTCCAGTGGGCTGCTGGGAGTGATGGTTTTTTTACCCAGTGATTCTTGTATCCATGTACTCTTCCTGCTGATGACACAACATCATACAAATGTCATCTGTTTGAAACATCTTCTGCGTTCTAGAAGATGGTACTCCATCTGTATTACACCAGAGTATTAATACTGAGTCTCCAATGCTAGCAGTTTCTCAGGGGAGCAGTATGTGATATGACGTGAATGCCAGGGTCACAAGCCAACTCAAAAGCTTCCTTTGATATGAAATCAGCTCCTGAGATCACAAGGGCAGGAAAGGCAAACCCATACCCAGAGCACAAGTGCATTCCTATGAGACATATGGAAATAAACCACTAACCCTTCCAGGATGAAATGAGCCCAGTCTAGTCAACCTGCCACCTAGAGGCTGGCTGGTTTTCTTGAGTACTAATGGCATTTTAACACCAGTCTCTGTTGCTGGCATATTGGATATCAAGCAGTGATCACAGCTAATAGGCAGGCCGGGTTGTTACGGTCATGCAAATCTTTCATCACTACTACCATCATTTATGTGGCTGGGGACAGGTTGGCTGATATCAGCTGGAGAGGTCACTTTGTCTTCTTGGTTGATTATTGTCATCTCCTTGCTATTTGGTTTGCATTAACATTTGAAACAAATATCTTCACAATTCATATCCATTTGTACACACTGATTCACATACTTCTTTTCCACTTTCTGGTCATCAAGCTTCTATTCTTTCTTGCTCCAGGCCCCTGATCAATTGGGCAGGACATTCATCACTATCCATGAGTTTCTGTACAGCTACCTTTAGTTCAGTTCTCTTTCCATACAAAGGGGATGAACAGATCTACCTTTAGGCACTAGGAAGGTTTCCCTTGTCATTTTAGTCCCTCCCTGTAGAAACCATCCATTTTTCACTTGTCAAATACTAAGCCAACCACTATGTACACCAAGCTCAGGTGTCTTTTCCTCTTCCTTTAACTTATATGTTAAATTCTCCATATATCCATAAGTACAAGCTGGACAAGATCCACTGGTATCACCCTAGGGTTTGGAGCCACTTATTTATACTTACAGCAGCTAGGTCCTCCTAGCACTCAGTCCTAGCCATACTATTTCCATTTTACAATGAATTGTTTCTGGGCCCATATGACCATATAACGTGATGGATCTGAGAGAACCCAGTTCATTATGGACAATTCTAGACATATGATCACTAATGTTCTCTTAGTTGGGTCCAGTAGCATGCCAGAATTTGCTTTGTAAAAGGCATATACTTCTTTACTACAAATGGCATAACATAGCAAGGCACTGCTCCAGACCCCACAAAGCCACACTGTGGTTCTTTCAGTGGAAACTGACACAAGTGGTGCACGACATCTTTGCCCACTTCTAATAACTTTCAGAAGTATTTGTTCTGTCAGGTTGTATGATTCTAGCAGCAGGGCTGCTTGCATCACCTCCTCGTCCTGCTGGAGAGTCTGCTTCAGCTGGGGACTTCATTCAAAGCTTGCAACCTTTCATGCTTCCCAGAATATAAGTTGGGATAGAATACAGATATATAGTCTTTGCTGTCTCCAGGACCCAAAAACGGCATTGTGCTTCTTTATTTGGGTAGGAGATTGCAAGACACAGTGATTTATCCTTTACTTTTGAGGGGATGTACCAGAACCCTGCTGATTCCTGGACTCCTAAAAATTTTGGACTCAGCTAACCAATAAATCTTCCATTCTATAAGGTTTTATTCCCTACCTTCTAGAGTACACGTGCCTTACTTTTTTTTTTTTTTTTTTTTTTTTTTTTTTTTACAGTCAGAGTGGACAGTGAGAGAGAGAGACAGAGACAAAGGTCTTCCTTTGCCGTTGGTTCACCCTCCAATGGCCGCCATGGCCAGCGCATTACGGCCGGCGCACTGTGCTGATCCGATGGCAGGAGCCAGGTACTTTTCCTGGTCTCCCATGGGGTGCAGGGCCCAAGTACTTGGGCCATCCTCCACTGCACTCCCTGGCCACAGCAGAGAGCTGGCCTGGAAGAGGGGCAACTGGGACAGAATCCGGCGCCCCAACTGGGACTAGAATTTGGTGTGCCGGTGCAGCTAGGCGGAGGATTAGCCTAGTAAGCCGCGGCGCTGGCCGAGTACACGTGCCTTACTAAAGACATCCAGCATGCAGACCACCTGTTGCTCATTTGGACGATTCAACATAATATCACCAGTGAAATATCGCACCACAATGTTCTGCAATGTGCCCCAACAGTCCAAATCTCTTTGTACTTTATTATGACAGAGGGCAGGACATTTAACATAACCTCTTAAAAACAGAATATATACTTTGTTCATTCCACATGAGTGTGAATAATATTTAATTGTCTTTTATAATTAGAATAGAAAATATGTTTTCCAAACCAATGACAATACATCTGAGGCCTAGTAATCTATCCAAAGACATTACATCTAGCACAATGGCTATGATCAGAGCTACTATTTGATTGGATTTGGAGTAATCTGAAGCCTTGATTCTATGGCCATTGGTTTGTGAACATACCAGATGCACCCATTAAGTGAGGATGTCTCAGGGATTATCATCCCTGTGAATTTTCACCTCTGTAATTCAGATTTAGATTTAAATCCCTAAAGGTATCACTAATTCTCATCACTTTCCTTTCCCAAGATGCCATAACATCTTTTACTTTAATATCTTGGCTGGGAAGGGGTTGCAGTTTAAGAACCTCCTACTTGGTTTTATCTGACTTTATAGTTCTAAGCCCACATTACTAGGATTCACTGTGGAGGCTGCACCATCAAGTATGCCAAACTCACTTAACATTCTGTGATGAGGACAATTACCATCAAGTTGGTTCATGGATCCAGTGGACCTCTTGTACTTTCAACAATTTCCAGAATTCCATTTATTACCTGGTGGCCATATGTCACTACTCTAACAAGAGGGTCATGATGAAGCTTTCAGACTCTGAAGATTAATGTCACCTCAAACTTGTATTCAGCTGAGCCCCCAAGTGCCCAGACCTTCCCCCTTATCTTTTCCTCAGGGTAAAATTACTCTAATAAATGGCCATAGGACCCAATGGGAAAGGACTAAGGAAATTAATCACAAAGGAAAGAACCAGGGAGTCTTTCTCTACAGAACTGCCCCAACCTCTTCAATTAGTTCCAGAAACTGGACCAGATCCAGAAACTGGCCACCGAATCATGATATTTTAAGAATAGACTATATTTTAAAGCAGTTTTAGGTTCACAGCAAAACTGACCACCCCTGTTCCTCCACACAAAGTCTCTGTTATCAACATCACACAGCTGAGTGGTATACTGGTTACAACAAATGAACCTACACTGGTATATCATTATCACCCAAAGTCTATAATTTACCTTCTAGTTCCCTCTTGCATTGTACACTGTACAGGTTTGGACAAACATATAATGTAGTATATCTACCATTAATCATGGTATAATGCAGAACAGTTTTACTGCTCCAAAAATCTTCTGCGTTCCACTTGTTAGTCCCTCCCCAACTCCAATGCCTGGCAACCTCTGGTTATTCTACTTGTTCCTAGCTTTTCCTTTTCCAGAATATCACATAGGTGGAATCACACAGATTGGCACTTTCTCAGACTGCCTTGTTTCATTTACTAATATGCAATTATGGCCTGAAATGACTTTTTATTGGAGTACCATCCTCAGCCTACCAGCTATTCTTCCTATATTTTTCCACAGGCACTAACTGAATAGTATCCTAGACAGCTATTTATCCATTAAGTTCCTAGGGATGCTAAGTTCTATTAACCATTTCTGCAACTCTGTGGTTTGACCCTTTGGGCTCTCTCTCCAGTTTTTCTGCTCATTACAATAATTAGAACAGCTTGGTGTAGGATGCTTATGCATCACTACCTGCCCTTTATTATTTCGGGGTTCTTTTGTGTCCACTGTTATCAGTGAGTAAAGTTCTACAATAGATTATCCCACTGTCTGCCATGCCATGGCCTACAGAGAACTGAAAAGCTATTCTGGTGATCCTTTGCCCAATGCATTTGCTATGACTTGGTAACAGATTGTCCTCTACTTCCCATGGACATAATTCTCTCATAGGCCTTCTAGCAAAACAGGGAATACTTACTTCAACATCTCCACATCTATAAGCCTTTTATCCCGTTCCTCCATCTTCTGTCACAGAAATTCTGTCGCCAAAATAAACATATATTTTAATTCCATTGTCCGTGATTTTTTGAAATACCCTCATAAGCAATTATTTCATATTAGTTTCTTTTTACTTTTAAAAAATTTTTTATTTATTTATTTAAGAGGTAGAGTTACAGACAGAGAAAAGGAGAGACAGAGAGAAACATCTTCCATCTACTGGTTCACTCCCCAAATGACCACAACAGCTGGAACTAGGCTGATTTGAAGCCAGGAGCCAGGAGCTTCTTCAGGTCTCCCTCATGGGTGCAGGGGGCCATGCAGTTGGCCAGGCCATAGCAGAGATTTGGACTGGAAGAGGAGCAGCCAGGACTAGAACCGGTGCCCACATGGGATGCTGGCATGCAGGTGGAGGCTTAGCCCACTATGCCACAGCACTGACCCTCCTCTTTACTTTTTAAAGAAACTTTCAATGGGCTACAGGCCAATGATATTTATGGAAATTCTGTAAACGCAAAATCAGTGAAATCCACAAAATTGCAGCCTAAACTGGAAGACCCATAATTTTCCATAAAACATAAATAGGAACAGAATTGACTTAGCATCATTCTGCTCATCACTTTGAGATACAGTGCTATTTCTAGTCTCTCCATGCCTGTTTACATAAACACAATTTTTCATTACTTCACAACAGGCTTGCGCACAGGATTTTTGCCGTATCTTGTGCTCATTCTAGGCAAGCTTAGCAGTAATGTTGACATCAATTAAGATGAGAGAGGGGCCGGCGCTGTGGCATAGCAGGTTAATGCCCTGGCCTCAAGCACCGACATCCCATATGGACGCCGGTTCTAGTCCTGGCTACTCCTCTTCCAATCGAGCTCTCTGCTATGGCCTGGGAAAGCAGTAGAAGATGGCCCAAGTCCTTGGGCCCCTGCACCCGCCTGGGAGACCCAGAAGAAGCTCCTGGCTCCTAGCTTCGGATCAGTGCAGCTCCAGCCATTGCAGCCAGTTGGGGAGTGAACCATCAGATAGAAGACCTCTCTCTCTCTCGCTGCCTCTCCTCTCTCTGTGTAACTCTGACTTTCAAATAAATAAACAAATAAATCTTAAAAAAAAAAGATGAGAGAGATTTATTGTTTTTACAGATAGGGCAACACTGTGGCTTCTAGCCATTTCAATTAGCATTTTTTTCTAAGGGAACTGATTTGTACTAATTTTTTTTTTCCTTTCTTTTTTTTTTTTTCATTTTTATTTAGTGAATGAATTTTTACATAGATACAACTTTAGAGATATAGTGGTTCTTTCCCTCATACCCCCCCATAAACTCCCATCCCACCTCCATACCCTCTCCCATCTCCTTCTTCATTATGGATCATTTTTAGTATGACTTTATATACAGAGCATATATATATAAATATATATATATGCTAATCGTAGGTTTCAACAATTTGCACCCACGCCCACACACAACATATAGAGTACATTTGGGGGGAGAATTTGCAGTCAATTCTCATATTACAATTCAATAGGGACAGAGGTCCTACCCGGGGAGCAAGTGCACAGTGACTGCTAACACTCTTTTTTTATGACGTCAGTGATCATCCAAGGCTCTTGCCATGGGCTGCCAAGGCTATGGAAGCCTTTTGTGACCACAGACTCCATCAGAATTTGGACACGGCCATAACCAAAGTGGATGTTCTTCTCTCCCTTCAGAGAAAGCGTCTCCTTCTTTGATGACCCTTTCTTTCCTCTGAGGTCTCACAGAGATCCTCTGTGTAGGATATTTTTTGGTCACAGAGTCTTGTCTTTGCATGCCTGAAATGCTCTCACAGGTCATTAGCCCGACCAGGAAGCCTTAAGGGTTGATTCTTTTTTTTTTTTTTTTTTGGACAGGCGGAGTTAAACAGTGAGAGAGAGAGAGAAAGGTCTTCCTTCCGTTGGTTCACTCCCCAGATGGCCACTACAGCCAGCGCGCTGCGCCGATCCAAAGCCAGGAGCCAGGTGCCTCCTCCTGGTATCCCATGAGGGTGCAGGGCCCAGGCACTTGGGCCATACTCCACTGCTCTCCCAGGCCGCAGCAGAGAGCTGGACTGGAAGAGGAGCAACCGGGACAGAATCCGGCACCCCGACCGGGACTAGAACCCAGAGTGCTGACACAACAGTTAGAAGAGCAAGCAGTCAAGTGAGCCGCGGCACTGGCCAAGGGTTAATTTTAAGGTCAGAGTGTTATTTACTGTGAATGTCGTTCTAGGAGTCTGCTGTGTGGACTGCTTCCCATGTTGGTCCTTCCTTCCTTTTTAATTGTTATTTTTTTACCGGGTACTTGATGTTATTTATATTATCCCTTTTAAACTTAGACCAATCTATCTGTTGCCTTTAACATTTAATAGGATCATTTTAATAGTGAAGATGTCATTTATACCACCGATTCTCATGGCTATGGAGCCCCATGACTAGTTCCTAAGCTGCACCCTGGAGGTGAGTCTACATGACTGCATGCAGAACTAGACTTTTTTACAGTTTAGCCCACCTCCTCCATCTCTTATTCCCTCTCTTATTTTTAACTGGGATCTTTTTCCAATAGCCTTAAAATATGTATAATTAACTCTGTGTTACATAGAGTGTTCAGCATACAGTATTAAGTAGAGAAATGAGAAAGAAAAGAAACAGAGAAAAAAACAACAAAACAAAACAAAAAGGATATACACAGTAAAAAGTAACAATGGTAAACTGTCCCTCAACAATCAGGTCAAGGATTCTTGAAGACATTGATTCTAATAGTGACAATTTCGCTTGTATAGCTTTTATTTTAGCTGTGCTATTAATTCTCCCAAATCAGGGAGAACATACGGTGTTTGTCTCTTTGGGACTAGGTTATTTCACTAAGTATTTTGTTGCAAAGGACTGTATTTCACCCTTTTTTACTGCTGTGTAGTATTCCATATTATTGTACTAATCTCTTAAGACAAAACTTTAAGAAGCCTGTTTAATATATTTCTATATAGGAGAAAGAGCCAGATCTGTCCAGGTTCCAAAAATGTAGTATACACTATTAAAGAATATTCGAGGGGGGGGGTGTCTCAAAGGATTCATTTATTTGTAATAGATTTTTATACTCATGGCTGCAGTTTCTAAAATAACTTGGCCTTCCAATTGACAAGAGCAGTTTTTCATCAAAGCATCATTAATGAATTGCCAGCACTTGCAGTGTTGGGTGGAAAAGTGCAATTTCTCCAGGAAAGGGTCACCAGGAATTTGTGTTTTTATATTTTTGTCAGACTGGTTAGATGATGCCTGAGCAAAGTCTAAGAACTACAGGCTAGCAGTTTATTCACTATTCAGTGACAGAGTGAACTATTCAGCAACAGTGAAAGCCATCATAGATATACGCTGAGCCCTAACTATGTGCCAGGCACTCCTCTAAGCTCTGTCTGAGCTGTCTCATTTTATCCTCACGATAACTCTGTGACAAAATTTAGGGATACATTTGGAGAAAGGAAGATTTGGAGTTAAAACACAGAAAAAAAGTTTGACAAGAAGACATATGCACTCTACTCACCAAAACTCTACTTTGAGCCTATGTCAGGTTCAGATTGGCAGAAATCAAACCTCAGGGCCCCGCACAGAAACCTTGGATGTCTTCTGGTCCAAGAGCTGTGAGGCTGCTGAACTTTCACTGTTGGTAGTGAAGACCCAACTTCTTTGTGTTTTATAAATTGAAAACGATGCTTTGAAATGATGTAACAATTTTCACATTACAAGTATTTACCCACTGGTTCAAATGTCTGTGTATGACCCTGTGGACTGGCACCTTCACAAAATATCACTGTCTCCTATCACATCTGAAGAGTGAGCAGCCTGGCTTGATTCTGACCTATCTTTAATGAATATACCTATGAAATAATTGGCTTATTTCCTTTCTGTGTGTGCCTCTATAAAATTATATACAGTGTTATATATAATATTGTTATATAATTGCTCTATGTATATATAAAGTTAAATATATATAATTGTATTATCATTAACACATTTTTGAAACATGTTTTGGTTTTTCAATGAATGTTTATCATGAGCAAAACCAAAAACATAGTCCATGTAACAATTTCATGAAACTATGCTCTTAACTATTTATTAAAAACAGAATATAATAAGATTGTGTTCCATTATGATGAACTACAAGCCACAACCCAGCAGTCTCAAGAAAATATTTTATAATTAAGAGTAGCTGACTCTATACTGCTTCACTAATCATGATAATGAGGATCCTAATCAAAAGGATGTTATGAATGTCAGAGTTAATCTTCTAACATTTTGGTTGTATTAGGTACTCACCTCACATATCACATTTTGTTCTATACTTCAGTGTAATACTATCTACTTATTTATTTATTTCAGTGTTATTTGAAAGGCAGAGAGGAATCTTCCATCTACTGCTTAACTTTCCAAATGCCAGCAGGGCCAGACTGTAGCCAGCAGCCTGGAACTCAGTCTGGGTCTCCCATCTGAATGGCATGGATGCAAGTGCTTGACCCATCACTTTCTGTCTTTCTGCTTCCCAGGATATGCATTAAGATGAAGCTCAATTGGAAGTGGAAGAGTTTGGACTGAAACCAAGCACTCTAATATGGGAAGCTAACACCTCAACTGGCAACTTAACCACTGTGCCAAATGCCTGCCCCACTCAGTATAATACTAAAGACCTCTTCATTCATTAGCGTTTTGTTCAAATGAGTTAAACTTCTTTGTTTCTAATTCTAATGAAAAATAAAATTCCCTCATCCTTTAAGACTAAAATGTTTTAAAGGAAAAAGTCTTAATTTTAAGAAATATTCTTTCTTTTAAAGGTACTGATCCAAAATCAATTAACAACAAATGCTGGCAAGGATGTGGCGGAAAAGGTGCCCTAATACACTGTAGGAACGTAAACTTCCACAGCCACTGTGGAAGACAACATGGAGTTGCCTTTGCAATCTGAACATAGACCTACCATATGATCTAACCATCCCACATTTGGGAATTTACCCAAATGAAAAGAAATCAGCATTTGAAAGAGTTACCTGTACGCCCATGTTTACAACTGCTTGATTCACAATACTTAAGATATGGAATCAACCCAGATGCCCATCAACTGATGACTAGATGAAGAAATTATGGTTTATATACACTAAGGAGTACTACTCAGAAGGGAAAAAATCCTATCTTTTGCAACAAAATGGGTACAACTGGAAACCATAATACTTGAAATAAGCCAGTCCCAAAACAACAAATACTACATGTTTTCCCTGAACCAGAGTAACTAAAAAGAATACATAAAGTGTAATATATTGGAGTGAAATGGACATTTTGAGATTTAATGACAGTTCACAACTCTTGGCTCAAAAGTTGAGGAACAGTGTTTTTTTTTTTTTTTCTTACTATTTGTTGAACTTTACTTAGTGTAGGGTAAACCTTAGGAGTGAAACTAAACAGAAAACAGATCTTAGTAAAAGTTAAGAGTGGGGACAGGAGAGGGAGGAAGAAGAAGGGTTGGATCATGGGAAGGAGGGATGGTAGGATCGGAAGTATCACTATGTTTCTAAATCTGAATGTATAAAATACAAGAAATTTGTACACCTTAAATACAATTTTAAAAATGTGTTTTAAAAAGTACTGCATCCAGCAAAGTACAATCATCAATATTGGAAAACTTGTGTAGAGATTACAGGAGTAAAAATTTGGTGTCAACTTTTTTAAAGAGTTTTAACTAGAGATCTACCTTAACTTCTCTTGAATACAGAGAACATTCAAATGTGTCACACATGCCTTAAAGGCCAACCTTTTTGGGTGACATTTTTTGTTGTTGTCATTGTTGTTGTTGTTTTTGACAGATAGTGTTAGACAGTGAGGGAGAGAGACAGAGAGAAAGGTCTTCCTTCCATTGGTTCACCCCCCCCAAATGGCTGCTACGGCCAGCGCGCTGCAGCCAGCGCGCTGCGCCGATCCGAAGCCAGAAGCCAGGTGCTTCCTCCTGGTCTCCCATGCGGGTGCAGGGCCCAAGCACTTGGGCCATCCTCCACTGCCTTCCCGGGCCACAGCAGAGAGCTGGACTGGAAGAGGAGCAACCAGGACTAGAACCTGTTATTGGATGCCAGCGTATTGGATGCCGTATTGGATGTCAGCGCTGCAGGCAGAGGATTAACCTAGTGAGCCACAGAGCAGACCCCCTTGGGTGCCTTGTGTATACTGCTTCAATTAATTTTCACCACAACTCCTGGAAAAGGCATTAGTCATCCCTTTAATTATTTAACATTTACATGTGAAGAGACAGAGATTCCATGAGGTTAAGTATCATATCCAAAGCCACATAGTCAATAAGTGAATCAAAATCCCAGGGTCTTTCCCTACGCACACGTTATCTTCAGAGAAAATGCTAGTAGAATATTAATGAACTAATGCACTCTTATTTGCATATAAAACTATAATGGCAGTGTGCAAAATGCATTATGAGCCAACTCTTTAATCTAAAGTATTGCATTTGCAGTCTTTTTATAGTGTCAATTATTACGCCAAAAGTCAGTTTCAAAGAATAAGCACTCTGATTCACTGTTTAGCAGCCAATGTAAGTCCTGGAAACAATCATGGCTTTTATCTTTGTCAGGTAATATTTCAACGAAGGAGGTTTCCTTACAATGCTGTTTTTTAAACACCTTAGTGTTTAAGAATCATAGACCATTTGGTAATGCAGCAGCTGCTGAGATTCTTGAAGCCTGTTGGAGAAACAGCTTTTCACATTGGGAATTTCCTTCCAAAAAAACAGTTGCAAATTCTGGCTAATCCTTTTAAAGTCTTCCTTTATTAATGTCAGACTTGATCTACACAGATGACCTCTTTCTAATTCTAGACAGTGAAAGTATCACCATGCTCCTAAATCAACATATATGAAATTTGTTCACCTTAAAAATAATAAACAAAATAATAAATTTTTAAAATAAAGGGTAAAGTTTGAAGATGCATCTCTCAAAAGACAAAGTGGGGTGTGGCCTTAAGGCTTAGCAAAAGAAAACTACTCTGTCACACTTCAGGCTACTCTGGTTTTAGTTTTCTTCTCAACTCTCTCCTTCTGTAAACACACAAACCCAACAGGTAGAAAACCAACTTATTCCTCATTTTTCATCTGTTTAAATTGACGAATATTCTACCTCAGGAGCCAGAACACACTGCCTTATATAACCTAGGGGTGTATGTGTGCGCGCGTGTGCTGTGCAATATTCTGGGAGTGAGGAGGGGTAGATGGGAATTCCGAGGGGCTAGGGTGAGAAGACAGAATTACTGCCTCCCTTTCAAAGCTACATCTGGCAGAGGGGTGGGGACTCTACCAAGCCATCACCACGCTGTATGCCAGTCTCACACACGGATGCTTCTCCGTCACGTTCTCTGGGAAATTTCCCCCGGATTAGGAAAGGGACCATAACGCGGATCTGCTCTGCAAGGCGAGTTTTTACCCTTGCAGCACAAAGAACAGGGGAGCGCGTTCGCATCTCCGCAACTCCACTCCCTGGACCAGCTCCGCGCTTCAGCACCTCGGAGAGCGGCGCTGCACCGCGGCCGCCCATGGGGAGCCGGATTCCCGCGGCCGGGCGCCGGCTTCCGGGCATCTAGAAGGGGACAAGCCTGCGCATTTTACCCTCATGTAAGCAGCTATGACGATTCCTTCTATCGATTTTTCCAGTAGAGGTGGTTTTCTCGCTGAAATATGGAATTAAACTTTTATTTATTAGCCCTCTCTCTCTGGGGCTTTGCTTAGATTTTTAGATGTGAGTCAGGGTCTGGAAATCTTTCTAATGTGTTGAGTTGCTAGGGAATTTTTTTTTCCTTTTACTGGAGGTTTAAGTTTACAAAGCCATTTAGAAATAGACAACTACTCCTGGTAGTCTAGTCCTTTTATGCTGTAGTAGTATAGTTTCATTCCTAGAGGAGAGTGTGTGAGTTGTCTCTTTTTACTACTGACAGCTTTCTAAATGGGTGTTTTCATGGCTGTGTTTATTTTCATATTTAAATATAGAGGTGAGAGGAGGAGGAGAATGGCTATATTCTAATAACAGTCACCATTAAAGAACTACAGGTGGCAAGAAGAGGTTGCTATGTGTCTCTTTTCCTTGTTAATAATATAGTGCGAGCTATATATTTCCTTTAGACATCCATTTCAAAATAACAGATATGCTCTTAACAAGAGAGATGTAGTCTGGCAGGGCTTTGACATGAGCTTTAAGACTCTGGATAACAGAATCTCTTCTTTAAGTTTAAAGTTGTAAATTCACTTATGTATGATTGAGTAGACAGAACCAAGATCCTATTGCCATTAATTGTAATTTAAAGGCTTAATGGATTCAGGGTAGATTTGAAAAAAGGCAATAATGATTGACTCTGATGACACTCAAGTGAATTTTTTGCCTGAGAATGCCACCTGCTGGTGGGTCCTATTTCTGAAGCACGGGGCACACATCAGATTTATGAATGAACTCACATTAAATCCAGAATATTCATTATGGATATGATGCAAAAACCATTCTTTGAGCTATTTTTAACAATAGCATTGACTCAGTTATTTAATACTTTACCAAGTTTCTATGTCACAATTACAACTTCATAAATGGTTATTTCCAAAACTATTTGTTCCTAAGCTTAGAGGAGACTAGATAATTCCCTTGGGCAGTAATTAACCCAGCAAAAAAATTAGAAGTATGTGGGGACTTACTGAGGATAATTGCAGAATGCATGTGGTATCTTGCATGAGCACTATCAGGAGCTCTTGCTTAGTAAAAGCAACCAGCATCTCCCCCTATATAAAAATTCAGCATGTTACTTTTTTCAATGTTGTCATTTTACAACTTAAGGGCCTCTCTTACTTTGCTGAAATAGATGTTCACTTCCCTCTTTGCCCACAGAGGTCAATGAAATAATCAAAAGGTTACACATATCTATTTTATTCCAAGGCCAATCTTTTTTTTTTTTTAATGCAACTATTAGAACGTGTTTCAGCTCCAGCTGGAGCTATACACAATGAGATGCTGACATCCAATTTCTTAATTCCCCTGTATCAAACAGGCAATGAGAATTTTAAAAGAGAAAAGCAAGAGCACACACAAAGCACTAGTCAAATCTAGAAAACATTGAGAATAACTTCTCTAAATGGTATTATTTGGTGGAAAATGAATTACTAAAATAATTATTTAATAACATTGACTAACACTATATTTTGCAATCCAAGATGCACTGGAAAAAGTATCCTACGTCAGCAGAATTGTTTGTAAAGTGTATCTTAATATAATATATGCTAATGAGTAGCAGAGGGATAGCTTGCTTGTTTCCTTTAGTATCTGACTGGTAAAATTATGAACTCGTGTATGTCATGGGGGCAATTACGTAGTATTTTTATGTGTGTGTGTGTATACATACATACCTACATACACATATATGTTGGACAAACAAGTTACTGTCACTAGCTTAGTTGGAAATTTGAATGCCTTAGCCTCACAATTAACAAAATTGTGATAAACTGAATTTACTATCTTTTGTCACTAGATCACTTATTAAGTACTGCTAAGTCATTTATATGCACAATCGCATTTCAACCTCAACAGAATAAGAAAGATGATACTTAGCAAGAAGCTGGATGCTTTTGTAAATATGTAAATTTTTTAGTATTATGAAGCAGTGGGGATGTCTCAATTTTCTGACCTAGTCACTCAAGGGACTTAATATACCATGTGATATTAGCTGTCTCATCTAGCAACTTACAAGACATCATTTCTAGTGTAGCTAATTGGAAACTGGTTTTACTCTGCAACTCATGTCTTCTTTCTAAAGTTGTCAGTCAGAAATAGAAAAGAACAGTTATGGGACAATATAGCTCCTGCACTAATAAAAAGAAGGATTTTGGTAAACGTTAACATCTCTATTTTACTGATCTTCTTAAATGACCAACTGAGAACAAGTATTGAAGGAGTAATTAGGTTTATGACCGTGTATCACTTATCAGGTCTCATGGGTATTAGATGCCATTTAAACAAGTCACTCTCCTGCCCTCAAGGATCCTGCACTCTAATGGAACAACTCACAATCTAAAGAAACTTAGGAAAAAATGCAGGAAGAAAGAGAGATAGTGGTGGTATACCAGCCAAAAGCATGGGCTTTGAAATCAAACAGACTAGCCTCCTATACACTCACAAGCTGTGTATCTTTAGAAATTTATCAGTGAATTTATCTGAGCCTCATTTCTTCGTCCGTTAAATGGAAAGTACAATGATGCACAATCATACAGGAGTTTGTGAAAATCTTAAATGGCAACCCATGTAAATCCAGGAGAGTGGCAGGCAAGTGGTTAATGTTAATAAATTTTAATCATTATGATTAAAAGAATCATTTAGGAAAATAGCCAAGCTTATCACATAAGCTTATCATTAAGAAAATATTTCATATAAAGCACTTAGCACAGGGCCTGGCATATGGCAAATGTATAATGTATGCTAACTATTATTATTATATAATCACTTTTAAAAATAGCTGAGTATATCAATATAGAATGAAATGTGGGCCAGTTTAAATAATTGTGTACTCAAGTGTATTAATGTGTAAGATTTCATCACTACTGCCATGGACATTTGAGGCTTTCTAGTATCCCGAGTGTCTGGTGTACATTATCAAATCCTTACTGTGGTCCTCGGGAACATGAGGTATGGATTCTATTACTCCCTTTAAGTTGATGAAAGAACTGAGATTTAGGGGAAGACTCCAAATAACTTACTACTCCATTCTTGTTCCTCTGGACTAACAGTCAGAATAGAAACTTGGGAGAGGACACATGGACCAGAGCTGGGTTTTCCTCAGTACTTGATCTGACTCCTCGATTTTGTTTGGTTCTACACACAGTTGAGAAATGCTACAGGCTGAATTGATTTCAGGCTTGGATAATTTCCACAGAGACTTTTGACGCATGTAGCAATCTTAGGGAAAAAAAGACAACAAATATCTCTAAAAAGACATTTGATTAAGTGGCCTTTTCTTCACCAGTAATTAGCCACAATCCCTGTCTCCAGAAGACCTTATGGTCATGTTCATTTGCAGTCAGATTTAAGGTACAAGATCCATATTTTCATGGATTACTGACATCTGGCTCCCTTCAAACTGGCTGGTGCATCTGTAAGAGCAGCTTGGTAAAAATAGAAATGGAGAGATCAAGAGGGAATTCAATAATCAGTCCTCCTCTCAAATATGGCTTTGTTTTCCCTGGAACCCTTCTTCTCAATGACATGAAATGTCAATGTATGCATTTCTGGAAAATGAAAAACAGTATCCTAATTGAGGTGTTTGATGAGTCTGATCACTCATTATCTCAATAATATATGCAAATAAAAAGGCATTTGCATTCAACGTTCATTTTTAAGAAAAACGCTAAAGTAAGGGCAATCAAATGCCAACTGCATTTTAGGGAGAACTACTTTACTCATTACTGGCCCTAAAACTGTGGTGAGATCACGAGAGCCCAGCATGGATTCATGAACATAAGCTCTATCACCAGCTGTTGTGAAACAAATCACTTTATCTTTCTGACACAACATCCTCTGTGGGTTCTTTCCAACTCATGTGATATATATGGCTGGTGTGAATATCTGTAACACAAAAATTAAATGTCAAACATACATGACTAAATATAATCATAGGTGTATACATGCTTCAAAAGCCACATTAAAGGGCCATCAGGGCAACAGGGAGTCAGAGCTAACAAAAAACCCACAGAGAGGTTACAAGGCTTCCTTCAACACCCGAATGATCGGAGTGGCTGCAGGATCTCCTGTGGCAACTCCCATGCTGGAAGCAACCTCACTGTGTAGCCTGTCCTGTCCCGTCACGTGCTGCTATGCATACATGACTTGAGGGTCATAAGGCTCCATCTGTAATGCCAAATTCTACCAGTAAAGAAAGGAGCAGAGCTGACAATTTTGTGAGCATTTCAATGTATCTCAAAGCTAAGGTTTAAAGACTGAAAGAGAGGCTTGTTTACTTCTTACGGCATCTGGGTGTCTGCTTTCAAGGTCATTCAGAAAAATACATGACAACCGGTAAGGACATTTTAATTTCTGAAAAGTACTAGCCATACAGATATATTTTTCTTTGAGAAAACATAATTATTGCAGAAACATCAAGATGTACATAGTGCTCTACCTTCATGCAAAAATTATTTCCCCCACAGCTTAGTCTTCCCATTTCACCAATTTCAGTTTCTTCACCTGAAAGATGAGAATGCTGATCCCTTGCTTTTCATGTTTTGTTTTGTTTTTTAAAGAGGGGAATTAACAAACAATGCTTGTACAACCCTTAAGTTTTTAGGCTAAAGCATCTAAGATATTCATATGAACTCTGAATTTAGATTATTTACATGTTCCTTGGGAAATGTTCCTCTGCTGTCTGGGTTTAGTAGTCATTGTATTTCCTTCACATTAATACCTCCCAAGGCTTGTTGCCATGTAATAGTTGCACACCCTTGACCCTGTGATCTGAACCATTCTCCCTCTTAGGCAGACTTCTACTGGAAAATGACACGGAATCCAGCTAAAGTGCCCGCCTCTTCTAGGACTGCTGAGTTTTCATATCTGACAGACTGCTCACACATGCTGTTGAGAGGAAACTGATTTTTCTTGGGTTGCATTGTGATGGCTAAGCCCAGAGAGATGCTTCAGAGAGGGGCAGAAACCTATCAAAGGGCAAGCTGAGTAATTCCACTAGAAAAATTACTAGTCTACTGTGGGCTCAGCCTTCACCTATGTGTGGCTGTATCATTGGATCACCTGAAACAAGGTCCTTTGGGCACACAAAGAGAATTACTGCTCAGTTTTCAACTTACTCATATCTCTCCTGAAATCCAGTTAGTAAACCCTTCTCTCCTATAAAGGTTTCTGTGGGATTCCCAATCTATGGTCTACCTTTGGCACCAAAAAGCAGCCACTATCCCTGGAATGATGACAGTGTTGAAGAAATGGGCTCAAAAAGAGCTCTGGAGCTTCAGTCCTGACCATCTTTCCTCAGCAATCTTTTCTCAAAGCGCACTTCAGTTCAGTCGCTCTTTTTAAGGCGGACAGAGTCTCTATGAGGATTAATCACTCACAGTTGCTCAGAATTACTCCTTTTAATTTTTTGCAGTTAAAGAAGCTGCTCCCCTGTATAGTTTAGTAGCTGTTCCCATGAGAAGCATGGCTCAGCCCCAGGCAGGATTAAAACACCATGCTCAACCTCCAGTCTTGCTTTGCACCAGAGAACAAGCCTCTTAAAAAGCTTTTAAAATAAAAGGGGTTTGTGCAGGTCAAAGGGTAAAATGAGCAGAAAAACTTAACAGAGACCAAAATTTTAAAATTCCCAAGACTCTATGATATGAGATATTTTAAATCTGAAAAATTTAGATTTCATTTACAAGCCTCCTTCAGTGGTTACTTCTGTACTTTTCTGGAATACTGAGTATCTTTCACACATGGAGATATAACCAAGAACAAAAGAGACCATGGAAAATAGTTAAAAACAAATCCTAATGTACTTAATATCAGATGCTCTCTTGCTAAAATTTATGCCATTCTAATATTATCTGAGTAATGTGATAAGGCTAGACTAGAAAAGGCAAGTAGAAAATACACATAGGACCAACTGGAGAATCAGACAAGTTGAACACGTCCAAGCTGGTGAAGGCTTAGGAAACAGCTGGTGCAGGCCCTGTATTTTACAGTTAAGTTATCTGAAACCTAGAATCTGGTGACCTGCTTAAGGTCTCAAGGCTAGCTGGAGATGGAATATCTAGAACTGAGCTCAAATTGCACAATACTTGTATTCTCTACTTTCCCATTCAAAAAACCTAATTAAACTAAGGTTAGGTCATTTTTCCAGAGTCACAACTCAGGCATATGATAAAGCCAGGATTTCTACCCTAAGCCTGTTGAATTCAAAACCTGTTTTTCAGCCCCCCTTTCTCTCAGTGCCTTCATGTAAGATGAGGACAGTTACAGGATCTTTCTCATAGGTTCGGTACAAAGAATTACATAGGTTGATGTATGTGCAATGCTTATCACATGGCATATAATAGGTACTTAATAAACATTACCTGCTATTATTTGTAGTATTAGTATTAACCTCTACACTATGCCACAGTAGGAAAAGGCAACAAGTTAGAAGCAAATCTGCCATGTAAATTGCCCTATCTCTTCCATCCACATAAAAACTCAGGTTCAATTTTAAGAAGTCTTGGCTGAACTCCCTTAGGAGTGCTGATTCCCTAGCAATGACTCTAGAACTCACTTTACCACACTCAACCCTGTAGTTGGTGCTTAAACTGCATGAGAATCAGAAAACACAGTCTCCATGGGGAATATCATCAAATGGAAAAACAGTCATTCAGGCATTGCTGAAGTTTTCACCACAGTGTGAGAGCTCATTGATGGGGATTCATCGGAATCAAAGGAAGCAGTAACTAAGGGCTTGCCACCATATAGCCCTAGGAGAACTGAGCATCACGGGAAGGAAAAGAATAAAACCAACAATGACCACGTACTTTCCACATGCAACTGACCCCATGTAGACCTCCTACAGACCCTATGGTGCATGAAAAGTTACTCATGTTGTGTGAGTAAGAAAACTAAAGTGAATAGGGACCAAGCAACTTGTTCAAGTTTATGTAAAAGGAAGTAAAACCGACAACCACATGTCTCCCACCTCCCCACCCCCACCTCCCATCACACTCCACCTAAACCAAGAGATGGAGAGGCTGGATAAGGAAGTCAGAGTACATCCAGCTCAAAAACCAGTTCAGGTGATCCAATTTGCCTTAATCACAATGATTCAGACTATGATCCCTAATCAGGTTCCATAATTTCTTAAAAGGCTCCAATCAAGATATTCTTTTTTACTTCGACAATTTTTGCTTGCTCCATGACTGAGGAGCAACCTGCGGGCCTCTAGGAGAGTAACCGAGTGCCTTTGCCTTGTCACCCGCAGGTTGGGGAGTAGCACCTTCAAAAACATGCAGCGCCGGCATACGACGCTGAGAGAGAAGGGTCGCCGCCAGGCCATCCGAGGTCCTGCCTACATGTTCAACGAGAAGGGCACGAGCCTGACACCCGAGGAGGAGCGGTTCCTGGACTCAGCTGAGTATGGCAACATCCCAGTGGTCCGGAAAATGCTGGAGGAGTCCAAGACCCTCAACTTCAACTGTGTAGACTACATGGGGCAGAACGCACTGCAGCTGGCAGTGGGCAACGAGCACCTAGAGGTCACCGAGCTGCTGCTCAAAAAGGAGAACCTGGCGCGAGTGGGGGACGCGCTGCTACTGGCCATCAGCAAGGGCTATGTTCGCATCGTGGAAGCCATCCTCAACCACCCGGCCTTTGCACAGGGCCAGCGCCTGACGCTCAGCCCACTGGAGCAGGAGCTGCGGGACGACGACTTCTATGCCTACGATGAGGATGGCACACGCTTCTCCCACGACATCACGCCCATCATCCTCGCAGCCCACTGCCAGGAGTACGAGATCGTGCACATCCTGCTGCTCAAGGGTGCACGCATTGAGCGGCCCCATGACTACTTCTGTAAGTGCAATGAGTGCACTGAGAAGCAGCGCAAGGACTCCTTCAGTCACTCACGCTCACGCATGAACGCCTACAAGGGCCTGGCAAGCGCTGCCTACTTGTCCCTGTCTAGCGAAGACCCTGTCCTCACCGCACTGGAGCTAAGCAACGAGTTAGCCAGACTAGCCAACATTGAGACTGAATTCAAGGTAACTCCCACTCACCACCTCGTGGGCAGAGTGCCCTGTGGGCTCCTCAGGTGTGTCTAGTCACAAGAGGGTTATCACCCTACAGAATCAAAGGGTGGGTTAGGCTTCCAGGAAGCAAGGGACATACCTCATTTGTGGCAGATGGAGGCTGAGGGAAAAGCAGCCCATTAGGTGGAAAATTCTAGCCTACATAATTGCAGCAAAGAAGTGACTTCAGGACAAATCCATACAGTTAAGAGAAAAGCAACACACAGGCAGAGTTATACTGTAGCTCAGTTGTACATACCTCCGCTCTCCCCCAAGGAGCTTAGTAGTGTTGGGGACATCCAGCAGCCTGAGGTCAGTCCCTAGAGCAGATCTAAGCTGTCTTGTTTTACCTGCATGCTTTTGATCTGTCTTGTTCATATCTCTATGCCATCCTAGGCTATACTGACATTAGATTTAGTCTCAGTCTAAAGCTAGAAAGACTTGGCTGTAGCCTTTCCTAAGCCTGGCAAGCTATTGCTGTAGTCCTGAAAATAAGCTGAGGAGGGAGTACATGAAAACAAAAACGAAACTCTCCCAGGAGAATTGAGCTTGTTACCCACCTCCCTGTCCCTGCTCCCATAGATAGGCCCAGGGCAAGGTCCTGTAATCAGACCCCTTATGATTCCTTCATCTCCAAAGTCCATGCATCAACTATGATCTTGTGCTCTCCCAATAGAGAAGACTGGGACTTACTGTAGGAAAGTCTTTTGACACCATGTTTAATAATGATAAAAGCAAACATTTAGTGGGCACTTAATGTGCATCAAGCACTAACTGCCTTACCTAAATGATCTTATTTAATATCCTCAACATTCCTATGGCATGATTGCTGTCATTACCTCCATTCTATATGTGGGCACAGAGGTAAAGAGAGCTCATATATAGCTAACATGAGGCCCTCAGACCCCACAGCCAATTCAACCAGGAAACCAGGAATCAAAGGCCTTGTTTAGGTACTGGCTATTCAGAGTCTCAATTATCTTTATCTGAATGGCAAAGGGACTTCTCACAAGAGAAGGTGAGGCTGAGAGAGTAGGAACCACAGCTGAGATCACTATTTCTCATCCTGCCACCTGACCAGAGACTATATTCCTAGGTGCCATGGCACATACAAATAGGTATCATACATGCTTGACACTCAGTGGAGAAAAGATGTCATTAGCAAGTGAAACGTCATCATCCAAAGAAGGTATCAGTGCAAGAACTGTCCCTGCAAAGGACGCAGTTAAATGGCCAAGGATGGGTGCCTACTCCGAGCAAAAGAGAACCCACCCCCCCACCCAGGGCATGTTGTTCAGGGAGATCTCAAAGGAGGAGATGGGGTTGAGTTGGGCTTCACTAAGCAAAAGAAACAAGATCAGTGGAAAGAGAGAGGTGAATATTTGAAAGAGGCAATTAAAGACGAGGTCTAGGATGGCCCAGGGCAGAGAGGAGATGATGAGAAATCCTGTGTGATAAGAACACAGACTCCTTGTGAGGCACACTAAAGATGAATTGGGGGCAGACCTCAGAGGGCCCTGCATGTCAGGCTGAGCACTCTGAATGTTATCTTATAGGAAAAAGAGTATTATTAAAAGATTATGATTTGGGGACTAATGTGATAAAAAGTAGGGTTTGGGAAAGTTACTTGACTGGAGATGAATTGGAGTAAGTGAATTGTAAGGAACTGGGACTAAAGAGGGAGAACATTCACTTGTATATACATGAGGCCATGGAAGTCTCTCTGTGTGCTGATATCACCCAAAAGCCAGCAACAGAAAGACTAGGCCAACAGGAAGCTGCAGGGTACCACAGACTGTGAATAAAATCCTAGAATTAAGCTAATTTTATATCTTTTGTCCTCCCATCATAGACCCATCCACTAAATTGGAGACACCTTCCTAAACCCATCATTGTTCATGAATTCATCCATAAACTGGTGAACTTGGTATATGTAGATGTAGAGATCACCCAGTGGCATTCCCAAGAATGTAGCTGTTCCTCTTGTTTTTGGACAAGAAACCTCATCTATCAACATCATAGCCAACGATGTCCTAGGGATGTTGGGTGCAATCTTGTTTGCTCCCCAGTCTCCAGAATGACTGCTCAAAAGCCATGTTGAAAGGAATAGCTAAGCCAATTAATTCAGATATTTCTAGCCACAATAAAAAAAAAATTCAAGTGATAAATGTTTTTTGGATCAGATTATGTGGATAATTGTACAATTCTCTACTTATCTCCTATCAGGGAGCATGCCAGCCTTACTAAATAAAACAATGCTAGAATAACATTTAGGAATGCATCTGAGCCATTTGTTTCCTTTACTAAAACCCAAAGTCTGGCATATCTTAGAATACCTAACATCTAAATCTGGAAATTTGTTGAAAGCCTGCCTACAACACTATGATGTTTTAATTTTAAAAAATAAGTTATGAAAATTGTGGACAATTAAGGATATACTCAACATGATGACAAATCTCCCCTATAGTCATTTACATAGAATAAGAATTAAGATAAATATATTTGCTGACTCTTTACATCCCCCAAGTTAGCTCTGTTGGAAATAATGTCTTTCAGATTGTCAACAAATGGTGCATTATAAAAGAACATAACGGTTCCTTCAGAACTTTATCACTTACTCAGCTGTTCTTGTGTATGCATTCCTGACATTATAAATCATCTGAGAGAAGAGAGCAGCACAGCAGGAGAGAAGTCAGATTGTAATAAAAGAATAAAGCGCAAGTGGAAGGGTTCTGATGAGTCTGTACTACTTTCAAGGGACAGGATGATGCTCTTACAGCCACATGTTATGGTGACAATCCAGTGTCATCAATTGTATACAAAGCTATCAGAGTCTCACTGGAAATATCATATGTCATCCCCCACATCCTCGAAAATACTCACTTAGGAGTGACTTCCTGATGAGGAAACATCCATGAAAAAACCTGGATTCAGTTGCCCTGGCTGTTGTTTTCGAGTCCTTTTAATTCATTACCAAAATAGAGTCTAGTCTAGTAAGAAGAGCAGCCATTGTCAAGGCCTCCAGTAAACTGTGGCAGAAGTCTGATGCCTAATAGAAAGCCATTATTTTTGGTGTGGAAATTATATAGCTGTTCAATGATTTCTTATGTCTCTCTAATCTTCTTGGGTTTAGAAAGATATTAAAACTTGATATGGCCACTGTGGCCTCCCCATTACCTTGAATGGTCCCTTGAAAGCTGGTTCACACTCTAGAAATGCCTGATGAAGGGAAGGAGAGAAATCCCAAAAGGATAGTAACTTCAACTGATGAAGCAAGTGATTATATTTACCTATTGTGTCAACTCTTACACATATGGACTCAACAGAGGCATCTGACTATGGCTTTGGTTATGGTGAAATGGGGAAGCTCTAGAGTGCAGACTGGTTGGAAGAATGAAACCCACACACACTGAAGAACTGCAGACCAGCCATTTGCTAAACTGTACGGTATATGGAGGCCAGAGTGTGTGTTCTTGATCTTACCCACGGTATCTAAAATGGGGTCTGGGTGCACTGCCAGCAAGTGACATTTTGGTTTACTGGCTTACCGACGTGGTCAGAGCTGGAGAACAGGAAGACTGGTGTGTGTTGTATGATTCAGAGGTGCTTCATTCTGATAGAACAAGCTCTTTCTCTGCAGAAGCACCTAGAGTACCAAAGAAAAATAAAGAATTTGTTGACGTCGGTAGGTAACGGTTCTCACCACCAAGAATATAACAACATCGCTGCAGCTCTTTTGAATTAGTCTTCTTAGTTTTCTTCACTAATCACCCCTCTGATAAAATTACCTAGGATCCCTTTTATCTCTTTTATTTTGTTGGTTTCTTCCCAAATTCCTCAGCACTGTGTCCATCTGTTGCAAGATGTTTATCATTCTTCCAACTCAGTTATGGCAGCAGCAATGTCTGATGGGTCAGAAAGAGGTTGGGAGAAAAGTATGACAAAGAAATACTAGATACTGAGGTTTAGGGCTTTGGAAGAAAAGAGACAGCAGGATAGGAGGAAGGATCCCTTTTCACTGTCTCACTTTTTACTTCAATTTAAAAGCATCCAATATTCCCAAGTCAGAAAACTATAGATGACCAACACACATAGGATCTCAGCTATTTAACACTTGGTCTTTCCAGAGAACAGCAAAACTACAACTGAGAGCCTTTTCCTGTTGATACAATGTCAGCATGGAATCTGCCTGTGCTTCAGTTACAAGTAATCTCTACTTACAGGCCTCAGAGTGGGGAGGAGACAAGAGGGCTGAAGCTGTAAGTTCACCCTACTAAAAGCATTAGTGGTTTCTCTGCTCATCAGTGGGTTGCTACCCAAGTGTATTATGAAAAACAGGTGATGAATTATGTATCAATGTTTATGCTGTCATTTTAAGACCCATAAAAAACTTTCTAGGCCTAAAATATCACAAATTAAAAATGCAAATAATGATAAATCAGACCAATTTGCCACCTGCTGTGATTTCTAGTGAGAACTCATTGTGGAAGGTAAAGCTGTTGCGATGACAGTTTGTAATCTGCTTGCAAACTTATCAAATGGACTGGGAAGGAGGAGGGAAAAAGAGGAGTGACTTTGTATTGGGGGGCAGGGTGGAAGCTCAGAGCACATTTGCATTCTGGTGGTCTGAAGCCAGGGAGATGGGAAGCTTCAGTGAAGCCCAGCCTGGGTTGGAGGCAGCACTGAAACCCAGAGAGGTCTGTTGCTCCCAACTCCCATTGCTACTGTTTGCACCAGTTTCTCATGGGCTTTGAATATTTTCAGGATTTTAAAAATGTATAGATCAACACCATAGGAAAATACATTGCCTTGCTGTTTGAAAGCTTGGCTGATAGGATAAACAAATGTCTGCTCAACATGCAAGAAATGGGTTGAAAACCATTTGCTTTTCCATTGGGAAAATATTATTTAAGCTGTGAAGGCTACAGATCTTAAAAGGAAGTGTGTGTGTCTGTGTGTGTATGTGAGTGTGTGTGTGTGAGAGAGAGAGAGAAAGGGAAAGAGAGAGAGAGGTGTGTGTGTGTAAGAAAATCTGGCAGGCCATTCTTCAAAGCAGGTGTATTTAGCTGTGTCATCCTAGCCCTGTGCCATCAGGTGATTCAGAACATGAGGAGAGGTGAGGAAGATCACAGATACTCAGTGACCCCTCAGTAAACATGTGCAGGTGAGCTGCAGTCAGAGCATGTGTGCCTACTGGCAGGTCGACACTAGAGCCATGGTTATGGATCACATACCTGAAGGCAAGACCCAGGGACTGGCTTATCTCTGGAAAAGGGACAAAGGTAGTTTCCATCCATGGTTGATTTGTCTTTTTCTACTTTTCTGCCTAAGTGAATGGAGGAACACGCTTGCCAGAGCACTCATTAGTGAGTCATCACAAAAAAGTAAGCTAATTAATTTGTCCTTTAATGACAATTTTTCATTGGGTCACAAATAATGCCTAAAATCAGATGATATTCCTCTTCCACGGTTTGTGCCAAAGGTATCAGCATCCACAATACAGGGAGATAGCATACACTGTGCGACAGGTAATTCAGGTGGCAAACAGGAGGTCACTTTGCTAGAAGAGGACAATGGCAGGGACAGTCTCTGGTAAGCCAGACTTCTCTTCAAAGCTAGGGAGAGCACAGCACAGGGTTTGGCCCCAGAATCAGACTGACCTGAGCTCCATGACCTACCACCCATGCAATCTTAGGCATCTATTAGAAGTTAACTTTCTTATTTGAAAAACAAGGGGTAGGAAGGAGAGAATATTTCAGTTGTAATCTGTCCAAACTGAATGCTTGTTTCCCCATGCAAAAATTTGCTCTTGCTCTATCTGTTCATCTCTTTAAGTGACATCATGAATCACCAATTTGCTAAAAACTTTTTACATCTCATCCTGTTTTAACCTCCATAAAGTCTAGGTACATATTAAATATTCAGCAAACATTAGCTCAGTAAATAAATGAGTTGCTGAGTGAATTAATGAACAGTGACCTCTCAGAGTCTTAGTGAGATAAAGGATTAAGTGAGATCAAGAATATGAAAACTCTTCACAAGGAATCTGACACAATTAAGCACTATTAAGTTTTCACCAGAGAGCCCAACCGTGATCCCTTCTGGTTTTCCAAAGCCCACTGGATTTTTCAGAGCCACAACTTTTCCTCCCAATAAACAGGGCTTAAATTTCAGCACCTCCTGTATTCTGAAAGTCTTGCTGATTTCTACTAAGCTTCTCAACCACTCAGATCTTTCTAGAACAAGAAAGAAAAAAAAACTAGGCTGTACATGTGCGCTCCATGGTTAAAAACAGACCATGGGAATATTTTCCAATTAGAAAAACGCAGACCACTGGAACTGAGAAGCCAAGAGTTCCACTAAAATTTGACAGTGAAAAGAAGTAATGTGGGCTTACAAGACAGAGAAGCAGAGGCAGAGGAGGGAGGAAATGGGCAGGCACAGCCCTTGCCAAATAAAGACAGAGATTATGTTTTGAGAAATATCTACCTCACTACACACAAAACAAAATGGAAAAATCATTTCCTACACAAGTACAACTATCAATCTGAAATATCAGAGATACACAGAAAACCAACACAGTTCTCTGAGAAAATTAACCAAGGGGTAGTAGTGCAAATTACATCAAATGGAAATGCAGTGATTTTTCTCTGACGAAAGTCACAGCATTGTGTAAATTAATCCGGGAGGGTAGCACGCATCAAGCATGCTGTACACACCACCACCATGGAAGCTCTGTTAGCAGCAAGTTCACATTCAGAATGAATGCAGAAAACACATGCCAGCATAGGGAGATGCGGACAGGGTCTGCAGACTCACAAAACAAAGAGCGAGGGGCAGCCTAGTTATGGAACTAACTGGACATTCAGCACTCATATGACAAATACTTAGTGACCAAGGCTTGGTTTGGGTGCTGAGACAAAAGGATGAACATGATAAAGTCCCTGCCTTCCAAGAGCTCTTGTCTTCTGAAAGAGGTAGGCCTTCTTCAGATACTCACACACTCAAAAAGGGCAGCATTAAAAATCACGCTAGGAAATAAAAACGCAGCTTCCAAAGGGCTGACTTAGAGGAGCAGCTGTGTGTGTCAGAATACCCCTCAGAGGAAGCCGTGTTTAAACTGAAAGCCATGGGTATAAAAAAGATAAAAAGACAACAGGGCATGGGAATAGCATTTCTAGGCATAGAAATAGCACATGAAAGAAGGCGGTGCAGAGAGGGAGAAGAGAGGCCCAGAGAAATTACAGTAGCCAAGCATAGGCCATTTGCAGGAATAAGTGTTAGTAAAAATGGCACAGTCTTTTCTGTGGCGTGATTTATGTCCTGGACACCATCCTAGGCTCTAGCCCCCACCGCCATTGCTGGAAGCCTGATGACCAGATGGCCCAATCACAGGTGTCAGCTCCACCCCCACCCTAATGGGATTTGCTGCTCCTACTTCCCTGCCCCCTACCCGCCAAAGGTTTAACAGGACCTGATTCCTGCACACATGCTCTCTCTTGATCTTTTTCTCTGGACTCCTCTCTCTCCCTTCTTTGTGTCTTGCCTCTTCCCTTCAGCCTACTGGATTTCCCTCATCAATAAACCCTTTCCCTTACTCTAGTGTTTGGTGTGTTTTGTGGTGGCCTTACCTTGGTGCCATGACTCAGACCCAGCCTTTCCCATCCCATCAACCGTGCTCTCCCCCCAGGGATGTGAGCTGCTTTGGGATCCTGGATTTCTGCCAGCCACAAAACACACCCAGAGACCTCCTTCCAAACCTCCAAATGCTCCATGATCTCCATCCACTCACCAGCCTTTCAAATTCCTGAGGTAAGACGGGGTGGGTAGAGGATCCTCTCAGTGTGACTTTCTATGGGTTGTGGTTCTACTCGACTTCACCACGAAGTCATGGTACCAGGCACTACAACTCCTATGGCCTCGTGCCTCTGTGTCCAGGCAACAGTGTGGGTGATGACTCAACACATTTCCCTTCTACGAGCTATGTCCTGAGCTCCAGTGGGTGCGTGGATGACAACCTCCACTCTCTCTGTTCCATATCCTCCTGTTGGACAGCGGTGATATTGGGGATGCCTGATACCCACCAATCTGACTACCGGTCACCATGGGAGCTTCTTCCCACATTCGATCTGATCCTCCTCTCAATGTCAACAACTCAGTCCAAATGTCTGCTTAATGACACACTTAACCCCAACATTATTGGGATCTCAAACACTTCTTTGAGCATTTGGAAAATGAAGATTTCCTATGTCTAAGCCTTTGTCTCCACTAGTGTTCTCCAGCTCAAACTCTCTTATTTCCAAAGCTCTCACTAAAAAACAAAAACTCCAGCTCTCACTGTCTCGCTCATTGTACCTCCCCTTCCTGCCTGGGAATTCAAACCTTATCATCTCAGAATTAGCCTTTGCCCAAAGTTTACTCCCCCTGCCTTATCCATCATCCTCTCTAACACCCTCTTCTTGGAGAAGCAAAGGCAAGTTTTGGAACAGGCCCTCTCTCCATGTCATCACCCTCTGACCCTCATCCTCCAACTGGTCTTTGCCCTTCTCCCTCCTGTTCTAATTTTACCATAAGAATAGCAAGGGAGTGGTGATTCCATTCTTCTGAGCTCCCAGTTCACTGCAAAACAAAGTAGGTATCCCACCC